ACAGGTACGGTACGTGGTTTATCCACTGTAATTCCACTACCTGAACCTGGGTCGTCATCTGGTTTTCGGCCTGGATGACCTTTCGGCTGTGGATCAGGGCACTCGAAGAATTCTATGAGTGCAGCGAGTTGTTGCTCATACCAATCCGCCAAATCGAATCCCGGGGCTTCTGCCAGGAACCGAGGGAGGCGAATCCACGCGTCCCAGCGTGTGTCTTGTATGATAAACAAATCATCATCGAAGGGATCAAGGTACACATAGAATCGCCGAGATAGGCGCACATCAGCGAAGTTCTCATCGAGTTCATAAGGTGCGCCGTGAATCAATTGTCGGGTAATCTCCCGTTGCAACACATCCCCCATTACTAACTGAGGGATGTCCTCTTCCCAGCGCCGTGCGGAATATCCGCTGCGCAGCGAGCATCTATGCGCATACCAGCGGGCAGGTGCGAAGTCAGGTCTCCGCGCCCGTTCCAACGCCAACGACGCCGCAGATTGTTGGAGTCTATCCTCAATGCGAATAAAATCGTCATCGACTCGATACGCACGGAATCGAGTAAGAAACGTTCGTGGGTATAACGAGTCACCAGGGTAGGGACTTGAAGCTTCAAGAATCCTGGTTATAGTGTCTGACAAGACGTCGCCGATGGGGCGGTAAGGGCGTTCATCGGTTTCTGTCTCAGTGTCGGATGTGTGAACCATAGTTTCATCGTCCGGATTGTCTGTTAACTCTCCCTCTGATGTATTATCAGGGGGTGGGTCTTCTGATTCTTCGTCAGAATCCGAAACCGACTGCAAATCGGGTAGGTCATCATCATCTTCCTCTTCTGAGTCAGCCTCGTTAATTGGCCACAATCCAGAGGGGCCGTCGTGTTCTGAGTCTGAGTCAGAACAAGACTGCAGGCCCGGCATTTCGTCATCAGAATCACTTCCTGGGTGTAATTCAGGTAAGTTTTCATCTTCATTAACAACGACGTCGTTCTCAAATAGGGAGAACGCCCAGACGTGATCAAAAATTGAGAAGTCAATGGTTAAATCGTCATCCAAAGCTTCCGATTTTTGGAGACGTCTGGCACGATACCACTTCCCCAAATCAATGTGGGGGTTCTCGAAAAATGACTTATCCACAGTAAGGGGTTCCTTGAAATCCTCGTCATGAATGAAGTATTGATTTTCATTTTTACTGACCACAGTGATACGAAATTCATCATCGATTTCAGGATCAGATGTGGGGTAGAGTGTAGGGATACAGCTTCGTAGCACGCACATTGCGTTTTCAGCGTGCGCGTCGCCCATCGTCCAAGGACGCTTGGGCCTTTCGTTTAAATTGTATTTACGCGCCTGCCAACGAGCATACCACTCTCCTAAACGGAAGTAGTGGTTTTTCAGATGCCCTGACCAGATTGAGCAACCTTTGTGGGTTAAGCGATCATAAATCTGGTAGAAGTCGGCGTTCGGACGGGTGAAAACCTCGAAGCGTTCCCTGACACCGGAGCGCAAGAATTCACTATCGCCGGGATACGGCTGCATGATGTCAAGCACGTACTCCGCCATGAGGGCCAGACTATCCCCGAGGCGTGTACGACGCCGTGCTTCTGGGTCGTATTCTAACCATGCAGGTTCATATGAAAACATGTATGTGTAATTGCTTGGGAGGTCCCAAAATTCAACCATCCCGAGTTCAAGGCTATCCAGAACCTTCACATCATCAGAACTTTCAGGTTCAAATTCAATGTTATAGTTAGTTAAACCAGGAGGTTTATTTCCATTTGATTTAACAGTATTGCCTTGGGGGCAATTGCGTGATAAGTGACCAGGCTTCTTGCAGTTAAAACAAGAACCCGAGGCTAATAGCTCAGATTTTTCTTTGTCACTCAGGCGTGGGGTAGCTCTTTCCCTTTGTACATTGGTAGGTTTAGAACTCTTCCAATCCCTTTTATTGTGGTTGGTTTGGGAATAATTTCCCTTAGGAGCCTGCGACTGAGACCTGTTCGATCCCAGTTGCAAGCTTTGTTGCCTTGGTGCGGAGTGCGTTTGCGAAGTGCCGCGAGAAAACTGGGAGCCGGAACGTTTACGTTCGGACTCATTTTTTCTTCCAGGGTTCTGGCGACTATTTCGGTGACCATTGGAGCCACCGCCGCCTCCTCCATGGTGACCACCGCCGCCACCTCCGTTGTGACCACCGCCGCCACCACCAGAATTGTTATTTCGGCGGTGCTGGGGGTCGGTGAATTTTTCCGAGGTCTCAATGGTTTCAGCCCCTTGTTGTATTTCATCCCAAGTGGAGACCTCAGGGTTTAAACCAAAGAGCCAAAGCTGCCTTTGGATAGACGCACGAAGTCCATTCCAAAATTTGACAGCTTTTTCTCGTTCATCCATGACTCCTATCATGTTGAATAGTTCTTTTAGCTCAAATGCATATTCCGAAACATTTTTATTGTTCTGGAAACATTTTCTAAGTTTTTCCCGAAGTTCAGACCTATAGTCTGAGGGAAAACAATAGTTGAACAATTGAACAAAGAATTCCTTGAGGGTCCACTCATGAGGATTGAGGGACACGCTCTGGGTATAAAAATCATAGGCCTTGCCTTTCAGGTAGTATGAAAGAACAAAGGCACGCCGATTTTTGCGAACCTTTCCGGAGGTAACGTAGTCTGTTCCTTCTGTGACGAACCGATGGTAGGCGCGTGCATCTGCAGCACCATCGTATTCCACAGGCGGAATCGGTTTCAACAAGGTTTTAGGTTTTTTAGATCGAGATCGACGCCGGTGATTGTGGCGTCGTTTGGACCTGTGCCTAGGGCGCTTTCGTGCCCGGCGGCTATTGATCGAGCTATCCGACCGAGTATCTTCTGAGTCACTGCTAGTCTCAGAGCTGCTGGAGCTTGGAGACGAGTCTGACCCAAAAGTATCAGAGCTGGAGGATGAGTACCCCCGACGGCGGCGCCGTGAGGGCTTATCGGATTTCTCGATGTTATCAAGCGCACGCCCAAGATAACTTTTGGGCGCGATCTGATTGATTGGTACATTCGTCCGAGTTGCTTTAACCAGCTGGGCGTTACGTTTGGCATCCACCTTCGGGGCTGGAACGATCGACGCTCGGTCCAGAGTTTTGCCTGATGGGGCTCGTGAGGGTTTTCTGTTTCTCTGGTGAGTGGTCCCCATCTTTTCAGGCTGGTCTTCATCTGAACTGCTGTAATCCAGATTTTTATCACGCTTATTGGTGAAGGATTCCAAAGCTGCACGTTGGGCCTCAACATCCAGATCGGAATCACTGAGTTGCGCGCCTCCCCAATTACGGGGGTCAGCGCCTTTCCCTTTTAGGGTGGAAGGTCCTTCGCCGCGCGATTCAGATCTTTCACGCGGCGTTGGTGGGTTCTGAACTTTCTCATAACGACGTGAGAGCTGTTCTTTCTGAGCATTTGTAAGTTGCTTCTCGGCCTGGTTAACTACAGTGTCTTGTTCTGTGGTTAACTTGTTAACTCGGTTAGGAACTACTTTGACTTTCTTAGTAGTCTTAGTGTCCTTCTTAAGTGAATCCAGGCTCCTGGAGCGCCGGAGGACCACCGTGGTCCACGGATTTTTATTATCATCCGCTTCGCTTACTTCACTAAGCGAGGAGGTATCGCTTTTGTGAATCTCACTGTCAGTTTGTACAATATTTTTGGTATTGTGTTGACTAACGACTTCAGTTGTATTGACTAAAGTTTCCTCCGCCCTCGCGTAACGTGCAAGAGCTTCAGCCTCACCCGAGGGTGCTTCTCCCTCAGTGGCAGACACTGGTGAGGGAGGTCGAGAGGCAACGACGTCGCTGTAAGAGCGCGTCATTTGCGTCAAGTCCTCGGTCAGACGATTGTCCGACGCGTGAACCTGAGGCGTAGCCGATAAGGCTGTGCCTGGCTGAATCTGTGAACCGAGTATATCAGCAACTTTTCTAGGGGTTCGGACCATACCTTGCTGGATAGCTAAGCCAGCGCGGGAGGGGCGAGTTCGAAGCGAGTAATGATTAGACATAGAGAAAGAATTGTTTTTAAAAGCAGAGATTTTTGTGTTGCCAGTGAACGGAGGGTCCGGGTGATCAATCCGAAGTGGTCCAGTCGACGGGCAAGGTGGTGACGAGTAAAGTCGGGTTTGTTTTTAAGAGTCGAGTTGTCGGGTCAAAAAATATGTAGCAAAAGCGTGACCGCTGTGACTGGAGAGTAACAGAGGAGGGTTTTGATACACTGAGGGTAGCGAAGATAGACCGTTTTAGCGACTAAATTCACTGAGAGTCTAGCTAGATACATTGGGTCTTTTTATACTAAGGGTTACGTAAAAAGGGTCGCAAAGGAATGGGGATGGCCAAGGCCATGTTAAGGGAATAGAGAGACTCTGATTGGCTAAGGAGCGTGGAATAGGTGAACTAAGGAATATGTACGCGTCACCGAGGGGGACGCGTAAGCGAGAGAGTACGCGTCAGCGTTTGAAGGACGCGTAATCGTCTTGAAAGAAAACAAGGGGGAATGGTAAAGAGTCCGACTAATTAGATTAGATAAGGAGAAAGAGTAACAGATGCGTCACATCCGTTACACCCATCCTACTCTGAAAGCGCTGTAAGTGGACTCCCCACCTCCCGAGAAACGTTTCATTCGGCGATTGTGCTGAGAACTCTCGGCACCTTCACTTATGACTAGATTCTTGAGCCATTCGAACCTTGGCTCGGATTCTGGGGTGGGAGGTGCATAAGATTCGAGATGTTCAAGCAAGGTGCATCTTGCTTCGTTTTTGTCTTGAGGTGGAAATACTCACGCAGATTGTAGATAACCCTACATACCATACACCTCGTGTTGGAAAGCACGCTGGCATATAATCGCTCAGATTCCCGCTCCTACATTCTTCGACGTACACGTGTGAGCTGCTCTTTATCCGAGAGGCACTGGCTGCAGGCAGAGGTTCACTTACTTTCACCTACGCCAACGCCTGCTGATTACACTCCAGTGCTTGCTTACAGAACTCAAGAGGATGAAGATTTACGATTTTCCTCTGGCTATTTTTTGCGTGGCTAGATCCGCATTCTTTATTAGAACGAGGCATATCAGCCGCAGTCAGTGGACGCACCAAAGTCGGGTTTATAAAGTTCTCGACAACCGGCGAGGGCGGCAGAAGTCAAGTCTTCGGGCCGAGTTCAGGATCGCTGAATTTTTGGTGTCGTCTTGGGGCGAAATAAATCTGCCGTTTCTGTTTCCGACCTGAATTTTTGTCAACCTGTGTTGCATTCTGGCAGGGCCAGTAGCAGAAAAAGATACTCAACGGACGGTGAGTCGATTTGTGTTATGGCATAAGCGCCCAATCACTCAAAGCCGATTGTAAGTTCAAGGGTTCTTGAAAGTGTGGGACCTTTTTTAGGCTTCCTGCAACGCGTTGTTGAGAAGACACGGTACAAAAGCATGCACCCTAGGATTTTTCGACGCTTTGACTCCCCTCCTCCTTTCACACACTTTCTTAGACGATAATCATGGCATCGACTCAAAATTGCCCTAACGTGTTAGCGTCTGGCATTTGCCAAGATCCACATTGCCAATTACTACACAACTTGATGGTCTGTGAACCATGCGGGTTCATCGCTGCGAACGAGACTGTGTATAACGCGCATGTGCAAGGCAATAAACACCGGAGCAAGATCTCTGGACGAAGTGGAATGGCCTATTGCAACATCTGCAAGAAAAACATAGGATGGGGGAGTTGGGATCAGCACGTAGCTGGTCAGAAACACGCCGCGTGTGCAAAGGCACAAGCGCTTGCGCCAAATATTGAGCCAGAGGAAGCAACGCCGAGCGGCACCCAAAGGAATTGCAGCATCTGTCAACAGATTGTCCGAAGAACTGCATGGAACCATCATATACTAGGTATCAAACACCGACGCAAAGAGGCGTTCACCAGGTACAAGGCCGCTTTGGATGAAGCAGAGAAGGACAAAAACGGCGTTTCAATTGAAGGTATCTTCGACTTTGATTTCGTTGATCCAGCAGCGGGCACGATTGGTCTACAGTCGACCGTCACCATCAAAACATCGTTGCCTTTTTCCAAATCGGTTTTGTTGGAAGCCAAGTTAGCTTCAAGCCAAGGCGTGCACGTCTCGACGTGGTAAGATCCTCGTCTCCTTGTCCTCAGTTGTTCATTAACGAAACTTTGCCCCTCTATATTCGCAGTTTCGCTGCAACTGTCAATGGAGACAATAGGAAGGTTATCTCCGGTAGACCTATCACCTTGAAAATCACCTTCCGACAATCGCATATTGGCCGATACGAGGATCGGCTCGAACTTCTGTTTGAAGATACGCAGCTCAAGAAGCAATTCATTATCTCGAGGACGCTCAAGGCAATTGTGGGCAACAAAACCGATCATGAAGCTCTCAAACCAAAATCACCATACGTTCCCCGACCCCGCACCACTCGCCAACCAGAAAAGAAGATCGTCGAAGGTGTTGCTCCTGCAGCTCTCGACGCAATCCCTTACGTTGGACGCCTTCCTCGCGCTGAAATTCCACAACCTCTATTATCTATCCTGTCAGGTTCGGAGACGGTCTCTCAACAGATCTCTCACGTTCGGCGTGTCTTCATTCCGAATACCCTCAATAGCGACACTTATGGCCGTCATTTCAAGCACCTTCTTTGGATTGAGGAGTTCAAAATGGAGTGAGTTGCTCGCGCTTCCGCTAGTGGTTTTCTGACATGTTCTGATAGACATGACTTGGCACGATATGATATGCACAATGTCACTCTTTCAAGACATAACTCGTTTTATTAGTACGTGACGTTTCTTTTGAGCGAAGCAGTGGCCGACATCTATCCATTAGCCTTCAAGTGCCCGGCTTGGCTGAAAAGCGACCCAGTGTCCTTGTCGGTATGCCCACATTCCTTTTCCGCTCGCTCCGACTCGCTGGTACTCACTACATCACAGGTGACCAAATTCTCGTCCAAAAGGTCGGTGCACCGGAAGGACATTGGTACCAAGGCAGAGTGCACGTCGTGCGTCAAGCAGAAGTCGGACTACGCTTTCATGCATCTTTCGGAGGTTCAAGCGACACGCAACCATACAACGTCCGGTTCAAGTTGAATCGAATTCCTGTAAAACGGCAGCATCAGGCTATGGATACCCTATTCACACAAGATCGCGTTTTGTTCCCCTTGGCCGCACACCTGCCGAGTTTCAATACGACAGGGTACCAGCCGCTCAAGATGTTCAATTCGTTGATTCAGAGTAACCAGCCACAGTTGCTGGCTGTCAAGTCCATTGTGAACCAAACTCCTGGATCGCCACCCTTCGTTGTTTTTGGACCGTATGTCCCATACTTGCCTTCATTCGATTACTGTCGTTATTTACTTACCACTTCGCCACAGACCTGGTACCGGCAAAACCATCACAATCGTTGAAGCGATGCTCCAACTCCTCCGCAGCAACCCCCAAGCCCGCGTCCTTGCATGCGCACCAAGCAACTCAGCAGCCGACCTGATAGCCGAACGCCTCTCCGCCGGCCTCAACACGGACCAACTTTTCCGATTCGTTGCACCCTCCCGGTCTTCGAACCAGGTCCCTGACGCGGTCAAGCCGTACACGTACACTAAATTGGACGGACACTTCTCCGTGCCGATCATGCCCAGGATGAAAGCATTCAAGATCATCGTGTCCACCTGCGTCTCCGCATCTATCGTTTCAGGGATCGGAATGGCCCGCGGGCATTTCACCCACATCTTTATAGACGAGGCTGGGCAGGCCACGGAGCCAGAGGCTTTCGTGAGCATCAAGATGATGGCGGACAATAAGACGAATGTTGTTCTGTCGGGTGATCCGAAGCAGCTTGGACCGATTATCAGGTCGGGTGTTGCGAGGGAGTTGGGGTTGGAGGTGAGTTATCTTGAGAGGTTGATGGGGAGGGAGGTGTATAGCGTCGAAGGGGGAAATGTCAGTGGGAGAACGTGAGTGAACGAGATTGGGATCATGAAAAAGGCTAACGTTGCTCAAGGGTCGTGAAATTGGTCAAGAACTTCCGCTCGCACCAGGCCATTTTGCAGTTCCCGAATGAACGGTTTTATAATGGTGATTTACAACCATGTGCGAATCCTGCGATTATCAATGCGTACCTCAAGTCGTCGTACCTCCCTTCGAGGAAGTTCCCGGTTGTGTTCCATGCCGTTTCAGGGAAAGACGATAGGGAGGCGTCGTCCCCCTCTTTCTTCAACATTGACGAGGTGCTCCAGGTCAAGGATTACGTGCAGCGATTACGCGCGGATCGTCGATTTATCACCAGTTTGTCGTTTTTCCTGCTTTTGGAACCTGGAAACTGATGAATGACGACCACTTGTAGCGGACAAAGATATCGGCGTTATAGCTCCGTACCATGCGCAGTGCCTCAAACTTCGGACTGCGCTCCGTGCCGTTGCGGATGGCGTCAAGGTTGGATCTGTGGAGGAGTTCCAAGGGCAGGTTCGGATTTCATTTTTTGAGCGATCGTTGGCGTGTGCTGAAGCGTTTCGTTGGCAGGAACGGAAAGTCATCATTATCTCGACTGTGAGGAGTAGCCGCGAGTTTGTAGAGTATGATCTTCGTCATACTCTTGGGTTCGTGGCTAACCCACGTCGGTTCAACGGTAAGCATCCTTCGGAATGCTGTAATTTTCATTGAGCCTAATTGATTGATTGTATCATACAAGTTGCCGTAACTCGAGCCCAAGCGCTCCTCATCATCGTCGGGGACCCACAAGTCCTCTCCCTAGACCCTCTCTGGCGCTCTTTCCTCAACTATATTCACAACAATGGGGGGTGGACTGGACCAGGGATTACGTGGGATCCGACTGCACCAGTTGACGAGGCAGGTGGATATGATACTGCAATTCGAGAAGCTGCAAAGTTGGATATGAGTGAATTTGCGAGGAGGATGGGGGAGATGATGTTGGGTGGTGATGAGGAGCTCGAGGCAGATGCAGGTGTTGATCGTCCTTGGAGGGATGTTGAGTAGAATCCTGTAGAGTCTTGAAGTTAGAACATTATATCATGCATGTAGATCTGATCATGAAATCTAGTTCACACCCTGAATTCAGGGCAAGCGCATCCGCACCTGTCTCGGTATATTGATTGATAGCCTTGATTGTGCCAAAATCAGACTCCTCTCTTACGACCGTGATCAACCATCGGCGCATTGACGCCTGCGCTGCTCGTTGTTCCACTCCACAACCAACAACCCAAATGCCTCGACAACGAAATTACTCCATCTTCTCACCTCCCCTCCTCTCCATGTCCGAGCTGGTAAAAACGACGCTGGACCACGATTCCACGGATTTATTGATTGATCGGTGGCTTGAGCATCGGAATGGGGGACATGATGCTTATTATGAGTGGTTTAGGGATGTGAGGGAGAGGAAGCATTGGGCGCATGCGCAGCAGAGTCAGTTGATGCAGATGCAGCAGATGCAGAAGGAGAAGGAGGGTTTTGGTGGTGAGGGATGGAAGATGAATGGGAATGGGAACTTGAATGAGAAGCAGACAAACGGGAAGCAGGCCAACGCGAATGGGAACGTGAACGGGAAGCAGAATCTAGGCGCGAAGAACGCGAACACGCAGATGAAGCAGTTGGTAGCGTGGAACAAGGGCGAGTTCGCCCCCGAGAACGTGTTCTGTCGAACGGTCGACACGGGGAGGCTGATACCTCTCGACAGGACGTGGACGACGCATGTGTATCATCATCATTCGATGAAAGAGAGGAAGTTGAGCATGATGCCTGTTGTGTTTACCATGGTTCGTCTCTATCGTCGCTTTTACGTATTTGAATAATCTTATCTTTTTTGATCTATGCAGCTCCCCGAACTGATGCTCCTGCGTGGAATGCACGATACGGGGTGCGATGAGATTTTCATCATCGTTACGGATTTGAAGCGTCAGGAGATGGACGACGTGACGGAGTATTTCAAGCTCGCGTGCCGGTATACCTTTGGACAGACGTGCAAGCCTAGTATGGAGAGAAGGATACAATGTGAACGTCAGTCCCCCCGCCCCCCCCTCCGCTTTTTTCTTTCCCGATGCTCACAAAAATAACCTCCCCCCCTTCGACAGACATGCGTCTCTCACACACCCTCCTCCGCCAACATCGTACCCCATGCTTCCCCCAAATAGACCTAACACTCCGCGCGATCCTCTACGAAAAAAACCCGCGCTTCTTCATCCTCTTCTCGCACCAAACGACATCGTATTCCCAGATATTCTTCACGCACCCTTCGTACGTCCCCGACGAAGATATCTTCTACGATTACCCGACGGGATGCCCCAACCCGTGTTGTACGGACGAGTGTGAGATGATTAGGTTTCCTAGGAGGGGCGTGGAGAGTGCTTCAATATTGAATGTCAAGATTGCTGAGAAAGATAAGGAAAGAGTGAAGAAAAAGGGGGGCAGATGGCACGCGAGGAGGAGGAACAGGGTGAAGAGGAGGGAGATGTGTAATTGGATTGATTGTGATGTCTCCTTTGGTCGGGAGCGTAATGCGCAGAGTGGGAGTGGGAGCAGTGATGGGTCGCTAGACCATGACCATGACCAGTCTGAAGTGGAGTCGTCGGAGGGATCGTCAGAAGGCGGTGGTGGTGGTGGTGGAAGGGGAAAGGTTATGGGTGCACTGTGTAGCAAGTGTAAGCTTGTCAAGTATTGCTCACCGGAGCATCAGAGGAAGGATTGGGAGGAGCATAAGCGGGTTTGTGTTAAAAATTAGCGAGGTTACATTCTTTTTTCCTTCATTTTATCATGTTGTTGGACTTTGTGGGCATGTAACTGTATGCACAAATTTAGTATTTGCAGTGTACTGCTACAACTTCGCGTTGAACGACATTCGGGAAATCGCATTTCTTTTTTCCACGATCACCACATCCAAATAGTTCAACGTTCAACGTTCGACGTTGGCGTCTTCCATGGCCTCCTCCAAAGGCCGTAATTGGCCTATCACAAAACGAAAGTCCAAGTTCTTACCTTCAAGCTCCCCAATTCTTAAACTGGAAGCGAACCTTGTCAATGATTGGCGCTTCCGGATCATTCGGAGTTCTTTCCAGACAACAGGGACCGGGGGCACTTACACATCCGTCGGGTCGCTCAACATCCCGACCGTCAGTCGGATTAAGGCTCCAGGCTTCAAGACTCAGTGCTCACCCGTACCTTGATGGTCAATTAGACTGGTAGCGAGCCACCCAGTGTGATCGTGGCTCCGAGTCGACGTCCCAGGAATCGCGTCAACACCCAAAATGATATCTCTCCTTCGGGGTTTGTGCTACATAGCAGTTGAAACTAGAAAGACAAGGTAGGTTTACTTTTCATCTCCTTCTCTGAATAATTTTATTGACGTCTCTATACTTGAATCGCAGTTCTGAATGCTGACCGAAGGTGATGTCTCGACCACATTTATGCATCGTTCAACAAGCCCAGGACTTGGCTACCTTGTACCTGCGAAGGTTGTGCCATGTTTCGTTTAGTCAACGGGCTTCAGTGCAATTGCAAGGGTTGCGACAGCCCGCCCAACATGCAATATGGGGATCTCGAGGTCAGAACGTTTCATTCGTCGTGCAACACATGATGCGATCATCATCTTTGTCAGGAAGTTGGGAGGACCTATCTACTATCAAGATCTGAAGCGCTCAAGCATCCTGATGTTAAGGTTACACAATCGATATCAGTTTGACCTCAACTGTCATGTCCAGCACCGCGATTCCTCGGGATGGGGCAGCAAATCCCGTTCAATGTTCAGATCGATGTGATTCATTTGTGTGATTCCACTCTTCTCTCACTGACTCTCGACAGTCAATCAAAACGACGCAGATCTGGCAATCTACTCCGCAGACAATGTTATCTTTCGCATTCACAGCAAGAATCTGGAGGTGAACACAGGCGCTTTCCCTCCTTTTGGATCGTTCCCATCGGATGAAGCTGTTCATCTGTCTGAGAGCGGAACAACTCTTGAACTCCTCTTTCAGTTCATATATCCTGAGCGCCACCCCACATTAGAGCAGTTGGGCTTCGCAGAGCTTTCCCAACTGTCTGAGGCTGTCGAAAAGTATGAGGTATTTCCAGCGATGTTTGTTTGTCATTATCGAATGGGGTATGTAACACTTTCAATGAGCGATCTTTTCTCATGGACGCCTGCAGGAAATTTTTATCCACAAACCCTCTGGAGCTTATGATTTACGCAGGCCGCCACTTTTATGAAGACTATCTGGACGATGCTGCGCCCCGTCTCATGGGAGGTGACCTTAAAGACGCTACACGCCGAATGCCGGAACCTGTGTACGATGCTTGGGTAAGTGAATTTAATTACGTCAATTGATCGACGCTTGAGCCATAATATATAACAAAACAGTGTCGATACTATGAGCTGTGGGAGCAAGTTCATCAAAAAGTTCTCAATTTCAACATCATCGATGAGCCACAGTGCTATTGTTCCAAGGGACTGTCACGTCGTCTTCTTCGTGAATTGGGAACAGGGCTGAAGGCAATGAGTGAGCTTGACCGAGTGTTTGCGATTGATAGAGAAGGGTGCGGGCAATGCGTCCTTGCTTGTGATATTTGGGAGGAAGATGCAAAGGATCTTGTGGCTAAAATACCGCGATTTTCCACGTTGTTGTAAATTTGAATCTACATGTATCACAGCAAATGGTGCCCTACCATGAGGATAGGCATGATGCAGGACAACGAGGTATCTCACGCCGAGGCCTCAGTCGATGGTTCAATACATCTAAGTGTCCTCGAGCTCACAACGAGAAAGTAAGTCTCAATAGTTGGACCTCAAGACGCAAACGAGACGTCGTACAGCGCTGATGCAGGGGATGGTGGTCTTGCGAAGGAGGCAGGCCATAAGTTTTGTCGTCTTTGCGTATTTTGATATTAAGGGGGGTGCGCTTTAGGTAACAGCAACAAGTCATGCGCACGCATATCTTGGTATTCCTCCAATAGACCCAGATGCAAGCAGTCTTCAAATTTTTTAGAGTCATAGACCAAACTAGATTTATTGCAAGCCAACACGAAAAGGACGAGGAAGGCCTGGCATAGCATGTTGCAGTACTGATATAAGTTGTCGCTTGCCAGAGAGTCGGACTTGCGTAGTCTCTTATACAGACCTTAGTATTACAAATGATAATCGATTTGTAATGATATAAGGGACTTGCGCATACGCATACGATCGGTTGATTTCTAAGGGCAACAACGATGGAGAGGGAACAGAATAGAATAGAATAGAATAGAATAATAAATTGATGGACGCGAAGTGCAGGAAAATCCACAGAGCCGCTACGATGCACGTGACCCCTCTGATTTTCAAGACTCTGTCAAGGGGTATGCACCAGCAATTGCCGACATATGGGGTAGGGAGGGGGGGTGGTACGTCGAATGCTTATCCAAATTAAAAAAATTGTTGATTATTTCGCTTGATTTCGCCTTATGAGAGTCCAGAAAGTTGTTGTATCTCAATCTATCAAATCCCTATGAGCGTAGGCAAAGTGTAGGGGCCAAGTAGGGCACAGAGAGCCCAGATTCTCATATTTTGTCCCCATTTGGCACATCTGACGTCAGTGGCTGGGTCGGCCTGGTTCAACAACAAATGTTCACACCAAGAAGTTCACTCTGCCATCGCTCTATCGTGAGCGCTTACCGTTGGCCCTCCTCCTCCTCCTGCTAAATGTCAAATTTGTGTCAACTTTCGTAAGTTCAATGGTCTGCAAGTGGATTTTGTGCTATGGTTCAGCATTGAAGCACGTTGCACGCGGTCTGTTCACATTTACTTCCATTCCGTCAGGTCTCAATTTTTTATAGATCGCTTTTATTGCGATAAATACAGGATAAATGCTAATATAAATACAATATCACTTGAGTTGCTGTGGTCTCATTGAAAGGCCCACCGGAGGGTGGTTTTGTGATAACGAGTGCAAGGCGAACGCTGGAGGTAGGGTGGGTTCTACACGCAAGCGACGGCATAGGGTCTAGATAGGTGGTAAACACGTGATATATTTCCTTTTTGGGAAGCCTAGGGAGGGGGGGGTGGGTCGATGGTGCCTTATCCAAGTAAAACAACCCCGTGTATAGGAATTTTTTTTTGCGTACCCCTTGGACTCTGTTCACACAACAGGAACTGTCGCAGCTCTCCCCCCATCTCACTTTCCTTATAAGGAAAGTTGATCGTTTGGGGAAGGATATAGTGCATGACGAACCATAGAAATATATGCCAGATTGGTGTAGTGGTTATTTATGCAGGTTTCCTCATGCTTACCAAAGTGTTCTCAGTTTGATTCTGCTCCCTCCAATTTTTTTTTTCTACATATGAAACAATTACTTTACGGAATATTTTTCTCTCCGCGCGGTAGCGCATTCGTTAGGTTAGGAGGTTAGGTTAGTTGTTAGGGATGGGGTTATCTTTCTCCCCATGCGGTAGCGCGTTCTCAGTTAGGTTAGGTGGTTTGGTTAGTGGTTAGGGTTGGGGATATTTTTCTCCCTGCGCGGTAGCGCGTTCTCAGTTAGGTTAGATGGTTAGGTGGTTAGATGGTTAGGTGGTTAGGTAGTTAGGTGGTTAGGGTAGGTTACATGCTCGAGAACACGCAGTAGCGCGCTCTCGAGCTGACTTAGGTGGTTAGGTGGTTAAGTAGTTAGGGTGGGTTAGGTGCTTGAGAACGTGCAGTAGCACATTCTCAAGCCGACTTAGTGTGCCATTGCCCTAAGTTGGAGTGCCGGTGATTGCCAGCACATCACATGTGAGACGGGGGAGACGTACGACACTTCACAACAGGGGTCCCATTCCCTCAGCTCAACCTCAGCTATTCCAGAGTTACCTCTCGTATTTTTGTCATCCATTTGGGCATTCAAAGCGTTTGACAAGTTTGGAACCGGCGGATCTCCCAGCGCAGTGACACTAATCATTTTCAGGAATGCCTCCAAACCTCTGCTCCTACACTGCCATTTGGGCCCCAGGGTGATGGCAGAATGCCGAAATTCCTGATTGGCATCAAACCTCCCCCCTGTTGGCTATCCAATTGACAGCTGTTGGGCAGCCTGCCGGATCCCAGCTGGCAGCTAGGAGTTTACTTTGTGGACACCAGCTCTCGTCTAAAGCTGTTCAACAGCGTCACCCACAAATTATGATACCTCCACATTTCTCACTCAAGTACCACGTTTTATGAAGTCCATAGTATCTAGCACCTCTTTAATCATTATATTTATATTTATTCACCCCCTTCGGATTGCCTTCGGAACAACTTTAGCCTTGAAACACACTTGATGAAGAGTGTGGGAAATATGTTCATACTCAGCGTACTCTGCAGCGTCAAAAAGGGCGCAAATTCTTGTCATCAACCCCATTGCCTCCCTCGTCAAGCTACAACCTCGCCACAATCACACGTCTTTGCCGCTGCCACCATCGTTATCGACCACATCATGCCTCTCCACCATCTCCAGCTCCACACCAACGCCCAACACATATGACTGGCAAAGTTTGGAGGGGGTTGAGCATTGCCAGCAACAACACCACACTAACCAGCCACGGACGCGAACTCGCTGCCACATCGACACCCTGTTGACCAACCTCGACATCATGGTCGACGTCCCCTCACCTGTCACATCAGGCTCCCTTGCTTGGTAAGTAAGTGCTCACCAGCACCGCCTATCGGGGGCTGCTGCCCTCACTGTTTTGTTTGTCCAAACCCTGTTGCAGTAAGTTGCCAACGTCAACCTATGATGTCTATGGTCTACCTGCTAATGTGTACATTCCCTCTCTAGACTACTTCACCCCTCATGTTGCCAACATGTCGCTAACTGCTTGCTGTCATGTCACCTCCACCACCAGTCAACGAAGGGGGCACATGGGAGAGAGTATCATGATAGCAGGGAAGGGAGCCATTGGGGGGGTAAGCAATAGCATATAACTAGCCTCTCCAGTAGTAGTAGTAAGTAGTATTGATCGATTGTATATGAATTATCCCCCTCATTGTTACTGAGTAAAAAATATCATAAATCTTTCTAAACTATATGGTTGGATTGAGGTGGGGATTTAAATGGGATTTTCAGGTGGTTGAATACATTGTGGCCATACTATAATACATACCCCCTCTACATAACCACCCACAAGGATGATAGCCAGGATGGTCAGCTGGGAATGGGCTGGACCCAACATGTCTATTCCAGCTAGCCTGGAACCAGACCCCTATTAGTTCGATTTTGAGCTGGTGGCCAGCATTCGTCACACTAGTGACAATGTGGGAAAATATAGTGGACAGGCCGCGTGCTCTAGGTTGCTTCCACATCTGGCCCAAATAGTGGTGTACAAAAGCCTTTTGACTCAAGTTATTGTCGCAATGGACTCCTCTGAGGATGACGTGGATCCGATGTCCGATCTGTGGGTCATCTAGCACGTCTAGATCGCATCGGAAGACATTTACTTGGAGTTTGAATCTGATACTCGAGTGGTAGACGTGTAAGGCGTGGTCCCGGATGGTCAATGCTCAGCACCCGTACCACAATGGTCGACTAGCATCCGCATTTCAGAAAGGATACTGCCATTGGTTAGTTATGGTGACCCAATCCTTAGGGGATCACGTAATTCTTCTGTTGTCCAGATCTCAAGTGCATCCTCTCTGAATGCGAGCGTGGTAGCTCTCCCTATGGTCTTTTTTGACGTCGAGCGTTGTTCGTGGCCCAGATCGAGCCACTTACATGGACGAAAATCCCTGCTCAAGTTTCATACTGAAATTTGATACCCATCGTCAAAGCTACTGGGGGTTGATTCTAATCCAAAACGTCCTTACCATCCCCAAGTTGCTTGTAAACCATCATGACTCTGCGCCGAAGTTGGTCCTTGAAGCATTTGCTGCATGGTCATCCCCCTACCTTGTTTCGTATCCCCTCCTCTGCCTAAGCTCCGACGGAGCTCAGGTGCAGGTCATTGCACATCGTGTTTTCGTCCGCTTCCGCAGGACATGTTGGAATTTCGGGAGCTTTACGAGCATGCGCAATGCGCCCCATCTTCAGATTTCAGGTGGATTTCAGGTACATTCCTTCCATTGACTGTTTCCGTGGCTCCATAGGGGTATTTTACATTTACCCCCTTATATTTCATAGTTTACATATATATATGAGGCCTTGTACTGTACTTACTCATCCGTTTGCCTCTGTCACCTCCAGAGACAACCAGAATATTATTCCCCACCTTGCCTTGATCACAGACACTTGCTGATTTGATTTCAACAGGACAGATATCATGGGCCCCACGGCACTCTTATGAATTGGAATCATGCATGAACGGACCAACTACAGCATGGGCGAGAGGGGGGGTGGGGGGGTTGCGGCGCAGGTGCATTGAGTGAACCAGGTCATTCCAGAGCTCCCCGAGAGGCCCCCACTTTGCTTTCAGCTTGAGCAGTTCATCATCCTATCACCAGCCCTCTCACTGGTTCAATCTTGGACAAGAAAGAGCTTGCGTTCCAGATCATGTGACCTGCAGTGCTAACTCCGCTTGCACCACTCATTGACGTCCATTGACTTCTTCTACCACCCAACATAAACACAGAACATTCTACCTGCAATGTCTACTCAGCCTTTGTGTGGAAACCAGTGCGTGCTCGTATTCTTCTCTCATTGACCTTGGCTAATTTCAATTCATATCTCAGACGCCCACCTTCTTATCAGATGCTCAATCAAGAGTGTGCCCACCTTTCTCTCGATGTACACTTACCGTAACCTATGTTTCAATGTGTCTCAGCATAGAAGGTGTGCATTAATCCTTACAACGCGCTGTAGAACGAATACCGAAACTGCCATATTACAGCTGGACATGACACAAGATACCAATCAACAAATGACCCATGTGGCAAGTTCGCAAGTATCCTCATTATTTTGATTGCCACAGTTTTCGTCGTCGCAATCAGTGTCCCGATAGACCTGTCAGGTAGATCGCGCCGATATTGGGCTGGGACTCATTGGGAGGGGTTGACAGTTAATGGGGGATGCACTGCCTTCAGAACCAAGAACTATACAGCAGAGCTGGTCAATATCCCTTCTGGAGATAATCCAGTAACGACGTGCGGGCAGACTGCGTTTTTCATTCACGGTCGTACCCTGCCTCCAACATATTGCACAATTGGGGTGTGTTGCTCTGTATTCTATTGACTCAAATTTAATTCCATGCTCCTTGTTAGGACAAAGAGAAGAGGGTCTGGGGCACATGGATCGTGGATGATGAGCCTTCTTGTGTGACTTGGTGGGATGAGGTCCATGACATGGTTTGGCTTTTACAACACATTTGAAGTACATTGTGACTGATGCACAATAACCTTACTATGTAGGGCTGCACTCCTCAAGGCTCCGATAAATGCATGAGTTCAATTTGATTCAGATCAAACTCTCCCTGATCAGGCTCCAGAGAATTGAAATGAAGTTGTTCAACTATAACTCAGAGACTGATGACTGGAGCGATATGTGTCGCACCACTCCCTTGGAATACAAAGGAGTACATTATGATGGCCCCATGAGCTGCGAATATCAAGGAGGACGGAATGTTATTGGGGGTTGGTTCATCGACGACCAGGACTGCAGATAAACAATTTGGATCTTTGGCTTAGATTGCATTCAGCTTCGTTGTTATTTTCACTCTGGATAGCTCAACACTATGTCCAGCTCTTCAAATTCAATAAATGTCATGAACTATGGAGAGAATCCACTGTCACAGATACATCCCATTGCAACAATTTTGAAGTTGGTAGAGTCATTTACCATTGGTTGAGCATACTTTTCAAGCTTGCTTGCTCAGTCAAATTTTAACCCTGTCAGATGAATGCAAGTAATGTTGCATGTAGCGATAGTGTTTAAAGGTTCAATTCAGTCCGGTTTTTTGCCCCGAAAACGCGCAACCGTGGACCGCAACCGGTCCAGGACTGACCCAGATATTGAGGGAACCGAACCGAACCACCTAGGACCGGTCTTTTGCGGTCCATGATACCGGTTCAGACCGATCCAGACCGGTTTTTTTGCGTATAATTTATTATACCAATATAAACCATTTGTATCTCAACCATTATTACTATGAAAAATAAACGGGTTATATAAAATAGTAAAGCATATAAATACCCATCATTCTACCAATTTTCAAGAGATTTAATGAAGATTTGACATAGCTATGACTGAAACCGAATTACATCTCCTAGAGACTCGGGTAAAATATGGATTTGGTTATATCTTTCTCAATTCTTAACCGTTTTTGATGAAACAAAAACCCAATAAAAGGCAATAAACGTGGTTACAAGGCTATGTAACGCACGTGACCGTTTAACCGGTTGCAACCGATTAAAACCGGTCTTTGAACGGTTTTAAAAGATTTTCGAAATGAGGCAACCAGCAACCGGACCAACCCCAAATTGGGGCAACTGCAACCGAAAAAAAGACCGGACCATGGTCCAGTTCAGTTTGGTCCACCGGTTTTTTGCGGTCCTATGGACTGAACCTTTAAACACTATGTAGCAAGTCATAAAGCAAAGACAGAAGCCTGAGGAAGATCTGGATTGAATAATAATTTAGCATTGATGTGCTTGCTACAGATGTGCCAGTGAGGTGATGACTGATGATTCGCAATGTGGTGCAGACAAAGGCTAATGGCAATATAATGAATGTGTAGGTATGTAAAGATACATACCTAATGGCGAAGTCATACCTGGGGTCAAGGCTTTTAGGTAAGGTCATGAGTGCTTGACCTATCACCTTAAACAAGGGATGATCAGGCAGCTAAGCAAAGCCTTTGACAGATTGTGTGACAAACTAAACATTTTTGCACCTTTTATGTAACTAGAATAGACTTATGGGAAGTTTTTTATTTTGATGATGTGTTTGCCTATTGTGCAAAGGTGATGTCCAAATGTAAAGAAAGTTGTAAGAAATCCCTAGGATGCACAAAGGACCACCTAAGCCAAAAGGCAGAATAACTGAGAAGTTATATTCTCAGCCAGTGCATCCTATATATGATACAGTATGGGAACTGTAGTAATCATGCCATGATTACAAAAGTGTTGTTACTATTTCAAAAATGTGTCTTGAGGTACATCCACAGGACAAAAAGCTGGTAAGAATTAAAATTTGTAAATGTAACGAATTTCAGGAACAATTCAGTTTGTCTCTTTGGCAATAAGCAAAACTTTATTTTTAGCAAAGCTTTGCCTAGATATAAGCACTTTAAATGTTTTTATTCTGTCAGCCCTCTTGAACAATTGGCAGACATACTGTCACAATAAAATTTTCCCATAGGTTTGCTGTAATTACATAACTGATGCAAAAATGATTACTTTGTCACAGAATCCATCAAGGGCTTCGCTTAACTGTCCGATTGTCCTTTGTTTAAGGTGTATCTACCTATGTAATCAGGCATGTATCTGTATTGGGAAAGAGGGCCTGTTACAGTTTGGTGGATTGCTGCCAGGAGGAGGGTTATTACTGTGATGAGATTGTTCATCCCTGTCACTATCATCATCATCATCTGGATCTCCTTCTGGGTGATCTCTTTGACTGTTTCTCCTTGCAGGGGGTGTTCTATCTGTTGATGATTCTCTTCTGGTGCATAACATCTGACTTCGATGAGATTATTCATTGTTAGTGTTTAAAGGTTCAGTTCAGTCCGGTTTTTTGCCCTGAAAATGCACAACCGTGGACCATAATTGGTCTAGGACCGACTCAGATATTGAGGGAACCAAACCGAACCACCTAGGAATGGTCTTTTGCAGTCCATGGAACTGTTTCAGACTGATCCAGACTGGTTTTTTTGTGTATAATTTGTTGTACCAATATAAACCATTTATATCTCAACTATTATTACTCTAAAAAATAAATGGGTTATACAACATAGTAAAGCATGTAAATATCCATCATTCTACAAATTTGTAAGAGATTTAATGAAGATTTGACATACAGTAACTCACAATAAAGAATGTCTCATGATTTCTTTTACAAAGTTGGCACTATAACACAAGAACCAAACATTTTGAAAACTATGCTCTGGTGTATGAAACATAGCTAACATGGTGTAGATTGTACATACCAAGTCTGGGGATGAACAATTGAAAACTCAGGATAAGGCAGGGAATTGACTGTGACAAGTGCCAAAAATGGGATGTAACAAAGTGGGAAATTCTGAATGACTACAATCTACTGAAAGCAATTCACAACTTGAGGAAGACATATTCTGAACACTGGGTCTCCCTGCTATTGTTATGAGCTTCATAAGGTTTCTGGGCCAGGAAATTTTATATCCTCCTCTAAAAGGTAAATTTGAACTTGTTTTCCATTTTATGTATTTTTAACTCAATATATTTGTTGGATTGAGGTGAAATGACTCCCCATCAATGTTTGTAGTGTGTATAACACAAAAGGTAGGTAGAAATGTCAAAATGAACATTGCATGATGTCTGTAGAAGCTAATTTTTAGAGTTTTTCTGAAAGTAAACAAGTATCTACAGCATTGGTCCATCTTTTCTGAAAGAAGAAAAAATGCTACCATCCTTTTGAATTGGTCCATGGAGACTCAGGATGTCTTTTAAACAATGCCTGAGATATAGCATGATAGCAAATAAATTTGCACTTGGTATAACTTGAAAAGTCCACAATAAAAGTACATTTTGCATAGAGCAATAATCCTGGACCAGTCCTTGACATTTTTCTTGGTGAATTGGGGCTGAAAATATTTCACAAGGCACTTCTCATGCCTAGTAAAACTATCCCAAAGAAATAAACAGAGTCCTATTTATACAAGGATCTGAGACCCCACACCTTTCTT